AGGTTGCTGAGAGGAATTCGCTAAATGGCCACCCTGGCAACCGGAGGAGAATTGAGGCTTACTGCCCTGCGAACTGAAGATACTGTGCTAGGCTCTCGTATGTACCGCCGTAGCAGACGGCACAAAGAAAATGTCTATAATTGTCCAAATCGCGCAATAAATACACGAAACCAATCCAACAGACTTCCCTCCGCAGCAATCCTTCCTCGGTGGCGGGTGAAACGATTTCACCGAATATCTTCCAGCCGAAATTTCCCTCGAAATGGAAGGTCGTGCCACCATAAATCACTAAGGGACTCTTGGAAACCCACTTTTTCTCCATAAATAACAAGACATCTCGAAAATCCCAACTTGCATGGCACAAACCGGTCGTGGTGCAATCGGGACAACCTCGAAATGGTTTACATTGAAAAAGCAAACTGCAAAGAGTGCAGTCACCGACAGGACGGGTTGTCCTCTGAGGCTTGCGCATGTTGGCCCGACTCGTTTCGAGTCCTCTCAGAGGCAGCGTAAAGTGGGCACGAGTTGAAGAGTTGACCGAGACGCCGGATTGGACAGCGCGACTGCCCGGCTCTTTGTCCCCCAACACACCCACCCCATTTCACACTCACACACGCACACAAACTCCTGCATCAGCCTCCCTCCCGCCCCGACCAGTTCGGTACGTGTGGCGGCACATGCGTTCGTGCGACATGCTGTTTACCCTTCGAGTGTCAAGTGGCGCCGCCGACGAATGGCCGGCCCGACGGTGCCTCGCCTCCGGAGTCAAGTGTGCCGCCGACCCGACAGACCGACGGTCCGTCAAGTGGTCGTCATAGCGACAGACGGTCTGATTTATGCTCATCGCGTTTCACGGCCCGCGGACACCGAGGCCTGCCTGAGACACGGAGTCTCGGAGCGAGCCACTACTAGCCGGTGGCCTGGACTCGAGTCCCGGCCCTCGAGCGGCACAGTTCGGGGCTGGAGTCGACCGGCGTTGAGGGTCGAGTCGGCCGAGGAGGGTTGAAGTTATTTCCGAAGAAAAGATGGGTTTCGAGCAATCTATTGTTTCCTAATTGTTGAGCTTACTTTCATTTCGAGTGAAAGTGTTGGGGGTGAAGAGATTCGAAGGTCGGTTTCATTAGAAGACGACGGAGGATTCAAAGAATCTTTTGTTTCATAATTGTTGAGCTTA